CCTTATAATGTTAGCTTTAGTAGCACCCTATAGGTCTACATTCGTAAGGCCCTTAAGGAGGACTATGAAGGTCCTATAGGCCTCTTTAGCCTACTTGCCAAACGCGTGCTAGATCTACTAAGCGTTCCTAGTATACTAGGTCTTAGTTGTCTTGTCCTAGAATATAACAATCGTGTCTCCGCTAGGGAGCTTCCTAGCTATAATAGCTCCCTTCTAGGAGGATACCTTGTTAATAGCCGAGACTATCTCTAGTAGGGTCCTCTTAGCTAGGCTATTCGGTAGCCTGTTTCCTTAGATCAAGATTTCCTTAGTAATCTGCCTAGGGATTACCTTCGTTATAGAGGCTTAGGCTAGTAACTATCTAGCTGTTACTTCTGCCTATAATCGGTTCTAGGTAAAGGTATAACTTATAGCCTTAGTTTAGGTACTTATAAGCGCTACTCTAACTTCCTTAGCGATTATCTTTCTTATACTTACTAGGGTAAGGGTCTTAGGGCCTTATAGTCTATAGAGAGGGCGATCGCTCTAAAGTATATTAAGGACCTACCTAGCTATTCCTTAAGCTATTCCTCGTCCCTCCTTATTAGCTATAGCTACTATACTATTAAGTAGAACCTTAATGTCTCTAGTATGGAGATATTAGTAGCGCTACTATTACTACTAGTGTCGCTATAGATAGAGGTACTACTAGTATCGCTAGTAGTAGTAGGTCTTAGGTACCTAGAGAGGGCGAGGGGCCCTAGCTAGGCCGTTATAGCAAGACTTATTTAGCCCCTTTAGGGTTATAGTAGTAGTAGTAGTAGCTCGGAGGGGGTTGCTATTAACCTCTATATCAGTAGCGTAAGGCCTTATTATTAGGCTAGGTCTAGGCTAGGGGGCTAGGTAGGGCTAGGCTTCTATAGGTCTAGGCGGTAGCCTAGGTAGGACAGCCTTTCTCAGGCTAAATAGCGCTTAGAATCCTCTGTCTTGCTCCTTGTACCACACCATTGCGGCGGTTCGCGCGCGCGCGCACCCGGTATAAGTAGATGCAGATTTTTAAGAGCTATCTAGCGATAGTAGTTAGGGACGTTTTGGCGTAGTGCTGCACTAGTTAGTGCAGACCCGTTTACGAAGAAAGCATTTTTTATAGACCGCTATATATAATAGAACCCCCCTTTATACTATAGTAGAGTGACTCTAAGTAGCTATATATAGAGAACAAAGACAGGGGCTTTTACCTAGCCCTCTATTAGAGAGTATAGTTTTCTTTATACTATAACTAAAGTAGGACCAACGTGCCTTAGGTATACTAGAGTAAGGATTATATATATATATATTTACTATAAAAGTAATATTACATATAATTATCTTAAGTTATATATAATATATAGAAACTAGTTATATTATTTATATACTAATATAAAATACTCTTTACTATCTATTCTATACTATATAGTATATATTTATATATTTCTAAAATTATACTTTAGAATAATATATTTACTATATATCCTAAATAGATATAGTATTAGATATAGTCTATAACATTGGAGATTACTAATTTTTAATATTATATATATCTGTTTTGTCTATTACAATTCTAGCTAGTAAGTTTCACCCCTAGGGTAGATGCAACGACCGCATTAGGAAAATATTCAGCAAAGGTTTGTTTCTGGTAAGTGTGAGTTCTAGACCCCCGTAGATACCGGGCCAAATTGCTCCAGTTGAGTTAAGCGAGAGATGACTTGGTCGAGCAGTCTCCTAACCAAGAGGCAAACACCGTCCTAGTTGTGCGGCGAGCGGAGACTGTGTTAACTCAGCGAACCATTCAAGTTTGCGCACATTGGCTCGCCCTCGCCAACATTATCCACTTCTGACTGTCCACTGGCTTTTCCGATGGTCGTGTTGCGCCGAGCGTTGTGAGAACACACCCCTGTTTTTTCCACGTCCCAGATCGATTCTGCTTGAGCCATCTGAAACATGCCGTCGACTGCATCAGTGTGATGCAAAGTGTCGAGGGTAACGCAGGATGATCTGGGTATACGGTCAGCTTTTGCTCTGTTTTATCCATTTTGAGTGCCAGACCCCGTCCCTCAACCTTCTGGACTGCGACGCGGTCTGCTGGCATTTCACATTTCCAGCGTCGCATCCAAAGACAAAGGTGCCAGACGACCGCCGATCAACGAGTCCTAAAATTCTTACGGCCATCCCCAGAAGGCTCCACATGCAATAACCCCATTGGACAACATCGACATATCACAACTCAAACAACGAACACAACACAGGGTAGATGACATCGCAATCGAGTCAGCCGGTGAGTGCAACCCATACGGACTTGGAATGACAAGTGCGCCTCACCCTAAAAGTTGCAACTGTGCGACGCGTTGTTTTGTGTGTTCAATCTGTTGAATATGTTGTTGGCTGTTTGCTGTTGGTTGTTGGTTGCCTGGACTGAATCCGGAATCTTGGACAACCCAACGCCACCTTCCTATCATGTGATGTGGACAGGTTGAAGCATGTGCATTTCATGATTCTTGCTGTGTCGGAACTGCATATTGCGCGCTAACCAACAGAGGATCCAAGCTAAAGTTTGTCACTCACATCACTCGCTTGTTTGAGGCAACCAACAAGATACACAATAAACCTGCAAGTCCTTTTACCCCTTATGTATATTCCGTCAGATGCAATGGAGATTGCGTTTTCTGTCGCCACGTGCCGCCGAGAGCAATACTCGGGCCCCTCGATTCATAACACTTGTGCGACGTGGCCCCCATATGTGCGACATTCGACCAGTGATTGCCTGGAGACAAGCCTCGTAATGGAGACGGGCACCGCACCCGAAGCGTGCTGCTTGAGTAACACACTTGCAGGTTGGCTGCACCAACCAACTTGACCGTGTCTTTGGAACGCAACCAGCTGTATTCGTAGACTTCGGCAAAAGACTGTTGGTTATGACAACTGGATGTAAATTCCTCGCCAAGTCAGAGACTCGGGAATACCGTTTTACCAGCCGACCGTCCATCCCAAGACCAGGGGTATCATCCATAGTCCTCCCATCCTCCCACCTCCAACCCTC